GCCTGTGTTCATACATTAGTGAAAACAACTGTTCTTTAAGCAAATGTTAAATTTGTTTTGTATTGGTTTAGTGATGTTATATAAAAGAAACAGAAAACCTTAAGTTCCATGAGTCTTCTTTTAAGGGCATCTCCAAAGAACTCAACTATGAGACAAACATGTACATTAACTTGAACTGCTGAGATGGGGAGGTTCTAAAACGAAACCACCACTTTTTCTCCCTACAGTCTAACTAACCCCATCAGAACTACACGAGGCAAAGGCTCAGATTTTCTGGAAGGAAATGGATGGAACCTCATGTGAACTCTCACACGACAGTAATTATGAGCTGGCACTAAGAGAATTTACCCTTCAGAAATGTTTCCACAAGTAGGGCCACTATCTACACTTGTTATCTGAATGTGAGAGCTGAGGTATGTTAGAGGGAGATTTATCTTTTCTGCGTGCATCTTTTTACTGTGTCACTTGCTAAAACTATCAAGCAGTTTAATTTAAAATCCAATAAAGAAAAGATTAAAGAAAGAAAATGACTCCAGAAGAGCAAAACTAGCCTCACATGAATGGAGAGTCTCTCTTTGGTTTGGATCCTCCATATGTTCTTTAAATATATTTTATTGATTTTTTACAGAGAGGAAGGGAGAGGAATAGAGAGTTAGAAACATTGATGAGAGAAAAACATTGATCAGCTGCCTCCTGCACACTCCCCACTGGGGATGTGCCCGCAACCAAGGTACATGACCTTGACCGGAATCAAACCTGGGACCCTTGAGTCCGCAGGCCGACACTCTATCCACTGAGCCAAACCGGTTAGGGCAGTACCCTCCATATTTTTAAGGGAAGTCAAAGCTAAGTTAATTAGTTCATTATTAAAACTGTCATCATTACATTTTCTGATAAAGAATAGTTTATGGCTTGGTTCCAATTATCCTATTACTAATTCATGAATCGAGGTTTCATCATAAATACTGGGCACTAAATAGTAATTAAAACACATCCTGAAAGGAAATCAGCCAGCTTCTGACTAAATTTATTTAAAAGGCATTTTAACAACAAGAGTCCAAAGGAAAGAGCAATGACTTTGTGCAAATGCAGGAGTGGAACAACGATGAATCCACTTCTGCCATAATTAATGCTAGTGATATTAAAGTATCCATAATCGAGTTCCTAGAGAATGAAAAATTTAATTTTTAAAATATAAGTGGATTGATGGGACGGTGAAATTTTCCATAGTTAGACAACCAGCATGGAGCTGGAGAGGAGAGATGGGCAAAGTCAACAATGGACAGGAAATCCAGATAGACTGTATTAAGATTGAATTAAATTACAACAAAGGATGAAGAAAGTAACTCTGAAATTTAATAATAACGAGGTGGGTGGGTGTGTTTGTGTATAATCAGTTTCAGAGAGGGAAATTGTCTTTGTTCACCCATTCTCCTTGGGTGTGGCTAGCCAGGGAGTTCCCTGTGTGAAATGTGCCTGGAGACCTGTTTCTTGGAGGCCCCTGAAGAAAGCTGGCTATTGGTGTTGGAGGACTGTGACTGGTGTTGGTCAAGTTTCCTTGACAGGAACTTCCAGCAAGCTCAGGCTGACTTAAGTTTAGACTTGCGAAGTGGGCGGGGCAAACTGTAGCATCCTCCATTCTGTGGGTCTTCCTGGGGGAATTAACTTTAGCAAAGTGTACCTTTCATTATGACTCTGGCAAACTAATTTGCATCAGTGTGCAATCAGAGTCAAGACTTGTTTTCATTCAAATTCTAAAGGAGATAAAATTAGTACATAAAGTCTGACCTAAGAGGGTTTGCAAGGTGCATTCTTTCTTTCAAGATACCAAGACATTATTACATCTTTATGTATCAAACAGTTAAAATAATTTTGACATTTTTATGCCTCTCTATCTGAAAAAACCTATAGCTTACGCCTCTGAAAGGGGAACAGTTCTGAATGAGAAATGGAAAACAAAATATTCATGAAGATGAGGGACACCTGACCCTACAGGAGAGCCCAGGGGAGATCAGCACCAAGAGGACCAGCCACAGGGACAAAACCCAGTAAACAGAAGACATCAGCACATACTCTTCGTACCTTTCAAACTTTTCACAAATGGCTTTAGTTGGAATATTCTGATACACACAAAAGACTACATGACACTCTGTAGTCCCGAATAATAAAATTGCATGAATCACCACTCAACCTTGAAAACTAGACCATTCCCCACATCACTGAACCTACTTTGTGTCCCTCCCTTGTTTCCTTTCTCCACCTCTCAACCAGTCAACGTGCGTGAGATTTGTTCCTTGTGCTTAACAGGTTTTTTGGGTTTTTTTTTTCTTTTCTGTTCATCAGATTGAACCTACTTTGTGTCCCTCCCTTGTTTCCTTTCTCCACCTCTCAACCAGTCAACGTGCATGTGATTTGTTCCTTGTGCTTAACAGGTTTTTTGGTTTGGTTTTTTTTTCTGTTCATCAGATTTTTTTTACTTGATTTTTAGATTCCCTTGTAGGTAACTGACTGTTTTTTTCTTGCTGCTTTTAAGATTCTTTCTTTGTCTTTTGCTCTTGGCATTGTAATTATGATGTGTCTTGGTGTGGTCCTCTTTGGATTCCTTTTGTTTGGGGTTCTCTGTGCATCCTGGACTGGTAAGTCTATTTCTTTCACCAGGTAGGGGAAGTTTTCTGTCATTATTTCTTCAAATAGGTTTTCAATATCTTGCTCTCTCTCTTCATCTGGCACCCCTATAATTCGGATGTTGGTACGCCTGAAGTTGTCCCAGAGGCTCCTTATACTATCTTCACATTTTTGGGGTCTTTTTTCTTTTTGCTTTTCTGGTTGGGGATTTTTTGCTTCTTTGTTTTCAAACCTTCGACTTGATTCTTGGGATCCTCTTGCCTGCTGTTGGATCTCTGTATATTATTCTTTATTTCAGTCAGTGTATGCTTAATTTCTAGTTGGTCTTTTTTCATATCCTCCAGGGCCTCACTAAATTTATGAGTGGTTTCTAGGATTTTTTCTTCAAAAATTCTTGAAAATCATTATAACCGTGGTTTTGAACTCTATATCCAGTAGTTGGCTTCCCTCCATTTCTGTCATTTGTGACCTATTTCTTTGTCTCTGCATTTTTTATGCTTCCCTGTGTTGGTAGAGTGGCTTTGTGTGCTAGGTGTCCTATAGGGCCCAGTGGCTCAGCCTCCACAATTACCTGAGGTGGACACTCTTGGTGCACCCCTTTGTGGGCTGTGTGCACAGTCTTGTTATAGTTAAGCCTTGATTGTTGTAGGTATCACTGGGAGGAATTGACCTCCAGGCCAATTGGCTGTGAGAATCAGCTGTGTCTACGGGGGGAGAACTTCTGTGCTGAAGAGACTTTTATGGGGCAAGACTTGCTTCAGTAGGGCTTTGGTGCTCACTGAGTCTGCTCCGAGTGTGTCCCTTATGGATCTGAGGAGTTGTGATCTGGATGGTTCCACTCTAAGCACTGGGTACACTGGCTCTTGGATCTAAGGAGGTGCTAATTTAGCCTCTGCCTGAGGCTACCCAGCAGGAGCTACAAAGAGATCTGCAGATTCCCCTTCTTTGTTTGTGGTTTGGAGGTGCCCAGATAAGGCCCAGCTGTGAAGCAATGCAAGCTGCTGTGGGGCCTTGGGCCTTCTCTTGGAAGTTCTGGGTCTGTCTGGCCCAGATGCAGTTTGTTAGGTAATTTTCAGATTGCAAAGGGCCAGGGCATTCATATGCAAAAGCCTCTGCGGCAGCTTGGGTGGGGCGGGGTCTCAGGGAATCAACAGGGCGGAACAAACAGCTATGGCTGATCCTTAGCCCTGCCCTAAGAGGCCCCGCGTCTCAGTGTCCTGGTAATCGCTGCAAGCACCTCTCAGAGAAAGCCACCCTCACGTTCTGCCCGCTGCCAGACAGTCCAGTTTCTCCCCGTATGAGTCTGGGTCCCCAGAGACTTCCCGAAACTGGAGTTCAGAGCAGTCGGGGGCTTGTGACTCCCTCCTGATTCAGAAAGACAGCTGCGATCTCAGTTGCCAGCCCTTGCCACAAGCGCCTCTGCACTTTACTTCCACACTACACCTCCTCTGAATCTCAGTGTGCTTTTCTCTTTCCTTCTAGTTGTAGAATTTCCACTCAGCCAGCCTTCCTGTAGTTCTGGATGATGTCAATTTTGTCTTTTAGTTGTATTTTTGAAGTTGTTTTGGGAGGCAGCAATTTCCGGTGTTTACCTATGCTGCCATCTTGGTTTCTCTTGTGTTTAACAGTTTTATCACAATGTATACATTCCTAAGCAGTAGACCATGTCGTTTTTTGCTTGATTTTTAATCTTATAAAAACAATGCATGCTGTATATAGACTTTTGCAGCTTTTTTCCACTCAGCATCATAACTAAGATTTGCCTGTGCCATTTTGTGAGACAGCAGTACATTTCTCTACACATTTATAATTCACATCATGCATTATGTATCACATTTTATTTATCATATTCCACATACCAGTTAATGAATATGTGGTTGTTTCCATTGTTTTTGGTATTATGAATAGTGTTCCTATAGACATTTTTATACATGTCACTGGGTGTACATCTACAGGAGCTTCCTTAGGGCATACCCAGAAGTCACAACGCTCAGTCACAGAATGTGCCAATGTTCAACTTCACGGGATGACAATCGTTTCCTGGATACACACCTACACTTCATTTCCCCACTAACCCTGCAGGTACAGGAGGCACATAACTGAGAGCCAGCCATGGGAAGTGAGCTGGCTGGTGGGAAGCTGTGGTTGAAGACAGCAGAGCTTCCTTCAGCCGGGTCCCCAGTAACTGCAGAGAGCAACTTACAGCTTCATCCCACACCCCCAATTCTATCAGGTGAGCAATAAATACACTTGTGTTGTGTTGAATACATTAGATGTCTATTAAATATGTATGCCACATGAGTCTACTGTGACTACAGTAATACAGAAATACCTTGAGTGGGGGTGCTTCAAAACAAAAGTCTAAAATATGTCACATTTGCCTAGTGGCTGACAGCACAGGAAACATGTATCAGAGCTGGAAATAGGAATGCATATCTCCCAGAAAGAAGCTTGTACACTTATACCTAGTAAGTTTATTTATTTAGCTGCTTTGAAGATTCCTTGGCTTTAACTTTTTTAATATATATATTTTATTGATTTTTTTACAGAGAGGAAGGGAGAGGAACAGAATGTTAGAAACATCGATAAGCTGCCTCCTGCACACCCCGCACTGGGGATGTGCCCGCAACCAAGGTACATGCCCTTGACGGAATCAACCTGGGACCCTTCAGTCCGCAGGCTGATGCTCTATCCACTGAGCCAAACCGGTTAGGACTTGGCTTTAACTTTTGACACCTTAATTATAATGTGCCTTGATGTGGGTCTCTTTGGGTTTATACTATTTGGAGCTCTCTGGGCTTTCTGGATCTGGATTTCCTTTTCCTTCCCCAGGTTAGGGGATTTTTTACTCTGTTATGGAACATAAAATCCAGGACAAATACCAGAAATTATAAAATGCTTAAAGGACCTATAAGCACACTCAAGAGGGAGAGAAGATGGCCTTGAACTTAGGGAAAGCTTTAGGTTCAATTAGGTGAAGAAAAGATACGCAAAAGAGAGAGACTATCAACAGGTAGAAAGAACATGGGAGAGAGCAAGTTAGAAAATGACACTTTCAGGGATGGGAAATAAATCAGTTGCCAGAATATTCAAGGAAGTTGGAAAAGGGTGAGAGATGAGACAGAATAAGAGTTAAGAAGTAAATAATTCTGGGAGAATAATTCAAGCCATAAGAATTTAGAAAATCGTAATAATAATCATAGTTTTAATAAAAATATTAGCTTTGGCCGAAACCGGTTTGGCTCAGTGGATAGAGCGTCGGCCTGCGGACTGAAAGGTCCCAGCTTTGATTCCAGTCAAGGTCATGTACCTTGGTTGCGGGCACATCCCCAGTAGGAGATGTGCGGGAGGCAGGTGATCGATGTTTCTCTCTCATCGATGTTTCTAACTATCTCTCTCCCTTCCTCTCTATAAAAAAATCAATAAAATATATTAAAAATTAGCTTTGTTCATTAAAACCCCAAATTGCCCTCTTATAAAGATTATTAAATTGGGACACTATATAGAAAATTGGGTGAAGAAAAAATATAGAAAATTCAGTAATATTAAAAACAAGAAAAAGGCGGGAAAGAAACTACAAATCAGTAATAACCCAATAGGCAAAAATATAAACATGCATTTTACAGCAGAGGAAAATATGTGTGACCAGTGAACATATAGACAGATGCTCAACATTACTAGAATTCAGGAAAATTCAAATCAAGAGAACAATGAGATGCTATTCTACACTTAAGACATGTAACAACACTAAATGTTGGAAAGGATGACACATCTTATCAATGTAAACTGATAGGACCACTTTAGAAATACAATTTAATATTACTATATGAAGTTAAATATTTGTATAGCCTATGACCCTCAGCAATCTACTACGAGAGAAGCTTGTATATTTGTACCAGAAGACATCTGCAAAGATGTTGACAGGAGCCAAACAAAGCCACATGGATCACTGTGAGTAACATAAATTTGAGTGAAAACCATGTTTCAGAAGATATACTTTTTTTTTATAAAGTTAAGCGTAAGCAAATACATTGTAAGTTCCTGATAATATGAGCATGATGGTGAGGAGAGAGAAAGGGCAATGGATGGATCAATGATGAACTGTAGCATTAACCAAGAATTAGAAGTAATCCAATTCTGTAATCCAATTTAACTACAGCTTTTTAAAAAGTTGTAGTAATCATCCCTGTATATACTAGTACATCTTTGCTAATATATCTGTTAGCAAATTCCTAGAAATGGAATTTGTGAAAATGTACATTTAGCACTTAGAATTTTCCCCCCGTGGCCCCACAGAATAGTTACATATTCCCACCTCTAAAGTGCCTAGAGTATCTGTCTCCTACCTCTTTGCCAAAACCTGGTATCAACAAACTTTGGGTTTTGCCAGTCAGATAAGCAATATTCATTATTTTGATTTATAATTTATACTTAAATATGGGCCTGAGCATCTTTTTATCAGCCATTTTATTTCTTCCTTTGTTCATACATCTTCAAACTCTTTTTCTAAGAGTTAATCCACTTTTATTATTTTTTTAAAATATATTTTATTGATTTTTTTACAAAGAGGAAGGGAGAGGGATAGAGAGTTAGAAACACTGATGAAAGAGAAACATCAATCAGCTGCCTCCTGCACACCTCCTACTGGGGATGTGCCTGCAACCAAGGTACATGCCCTTCACCGGAATCGAACCTGGGACCTTTCAGTCTGCAGGCCGACGCTCTATCCACTGAGACAAACCGGTTTCGGCAACAAATATTTAATGAGGACTTACTATGCACCAGGCACTATTCTAGATGATGGGGTATAACAGTGAAGAAAATAGAGAAAAAATATCATCAT